TTTCTTTCTTTCATTAAAAGTCAAAAAAAATTATACATGAGAGTACACATAAAAGCATTTCAGTTATTTTTCTTTTTTAATTAAATTGAGTGTTTAATTGTGCTTTATTGACAGAACACTTGACTGAGAAAGCAACAAAGCGCCGAGCATGCCATCTACTCCCGCTAGGTTTTATTCTTCACTGAATGCTTTAGCTGTCATTTCTATTCAGAAGAAATTCTTAAATGCTACAATAAAGACTATTTTCTGGCTATTTATAACTCAAGTTCTGTTTAGTTCTCCATTTCATTTTCTACATTCTTGTCTGAAATTTAAATTCAATGTCTACTTTTCTGATCAAAAGGGATATATATATATAATATATGTATAAATTGATATTAGTAAAGAAATTAGGAATCAGATTAATAAGGTTAAGGTTGTATTTTTATTTTTAAGATTGTTTGCTAATAATGCACATTTATGTATGTGGGGGGGTGTGCACATGTGAAGACCAAAGTTCAGATCCTCAGCACCCATTGGTGCTGGTGAGGTGGCAGTCCCTCTAATCCCACTATGTGGGAGGGAGAGACAAAGGATTATGGGAGCAGGATTGCTAGCTAAACTTCAACAGGAAGCTAGGAGTTTAACTGAGATACCCTGCCTCAATATAGAAGGTAGAGAGCAATACAGAAAGGCATCCCATGTCAACCTTGGACTAACACGTACATCCATACACATGTGGACACACATACACCAAAAAAGAAGAAAAGAAAATGGGAAATACTGAGGAAGAAGAGTCAGCAAAGTTGAAACAGAGGAAAAAAATCACGTTTGTGTATTTTTAGATTTAGTCCTCATTAAACAAACATAGAAATATATTTTAAGTTTTCTAGTTTTCATAAAATTCTATTAGCTAAATTAAACTCCTTCAAGAGGAAACAGAAAATCTGAATAGGCAAATGCTTCTTAAATAAATTGAAGAAATTATCAATTAATTTCCAAAACAAAAACATCAAGCCCAGATAAATTTACTAGTAAAATTTAGCAAACAATGAAGAGTGCTATTACACATAGGCAGAAGCTACTAGATCTCTGAGTTTGAAGTCAGCTTGGTCTACAGAGTGAGTTCCAGCACAGTCACAGATACACAGAGAGACCCTGCCTTGAAAAACAAACAAGCAAAAAAAGAGTGCTATTACAACAGTGATCTACTATCATTTGTAGAAGATGAAAAGAAAAGGAAACTCTTCCCAGTTCAGTCTATTAGGCAGTGAATTTTTGCACATAATACTAAAGGCATGACCCATGACAGAAAGAGCTGAGATAAGCTATACCTCATTGAAATTAAAGACTCCTAAGTTTCTGACAAACGCAGAAAAAAGACAAAATACTTTCAAATCATACCTGAAAAGTGACTGTTATCCAAAATATGCAAATAACCCTCCAAACTCAGAAATTAAAGCTAAACTGGTAGAAAAACGAATTGGCCAAAGACCTTAGCCACAATAATCATTTTTAAAAGCATATAAAAGGGTACTCCACATCCTAAAGCATCAGAGAAAAGAAGACTAATGGAGCAACTCCACACACCTATTAAAAACCTCCAGAACTGGGGCTGGAGAGATGGCTCAGCGGTTCAGAGCACTTCCAGAGGTCCTGAGTTCAATTCCCAGCAACCACATGGTGGCTCACAACCATTCATAGTGAGACCTGGTACCCTCTTCTGGCCTGCAGGGACACATGCAGGCAGAATGCTGTACACATAATAAATAAATAAATCTTTAAAAAAAAAACTCCAGAAGTTGGCAACACTGGGGCTGGAGAGACGGCTCAGAGGTTATGAGCATTGGCTGCTCTTCCAGAGAACCTGTGTTCAATTACCAGCAACCATCTATAATGAGATCTAGCACCCTCTTCTGGCCTGTGGGCATACAGACAGACTCTGTATACTAAATAAATAATTCAAAAATTTTTTTAAAAAAACAGAAGTTGGCAACACCAAGTGTGACCAAATCAAGTGAAGCAGCAGCAGAAATTCTCATCCAGCCCTTGAGGGAAGGCAAAGGGTACAAACACAGTGGAAATAGTCCACCGGCTTCCAATAAAACAGATCATGGAAGCCTGTGAGATGGCTTGGCAGGTCAGAGAAGCTACTGCACAAGCAGCAGACCTGAAAGCAGCCCTGCTGATCTGAAGCTACTGCACAAGCATGAAGACCTGAAAGCAGACCTGCTGATCTGAAGCTACTGCACAAGCATGAAGACCTGAAAGCAGACCTGCTGAGCTGAACTCCAGTTTACCTTGGAAAAGGAGAAATGACATCCTAAAGTTGTCCCCTGACCTATTCATGTGTGCCTGTGCCATGAGAGTGTTCAACTGCACAGACACATAAGCAACAATGATTATAAGTAATAATGAAGCCGGGCGTTGCTGGTGCACGCCTTTAATCCCAGCACTTGAGAGGCAGAGGCAGGTGGATCTACAGAGCGAGTTCTAGGACATCCTCCAAAACAATACAGAGAAACCCTGTCTTGAAAAAACAAACAAACAAACAAACAATATATATATGTATATATATGTTGAGCATACTCCTGCCATAGGATCAATAGGCATGTTCCTTTGCATTGCCTGCAACAGCTGAAAATAATTTCCATACAAAAGCCTTCAAACACATGTTGGTAGCAGCTTTGTTTATACCTTCCCAAACTTGGAAGCAAATAGTATGTTATTCTTACAATGGATAAAGGAACGCATTTTTACACTGAGAAAATGGAATATTATTGTGTCAAAAAAGAGCAATCAAACCATTAAAAGATATGGAAAAAATTTCATTGTAGCCCTTTGAGAAAGGCATCATGCGATTGGTTTCCATGTTGCATGACTTCAACTGTACAGCATTCTTGAAAACACAAATGGTAAAAAGAGTGTTTGCCAAGATGCTGGGGGGAACAGCTAAAAACTGAACTGAATTCCTGGAACCCAGTTGCAAAGAGTAGTGATGAGCAAAGGAATTAAGCCCCAGCCGGTGAACCCCACAGAGGCAGCTGACCTCAACAAGGGAGAACACATGGACCCCAGACTGATGACTGAGAGGCCAGCATGGGATTGACCCAGACCCCCCTGAACCTGGGTGTCAGAGAGGAGGCTTCAACAATCTGTGGGACCTCGGATAGTAGATCAGTATTTATTCCTGGCACACAAATGGACTTTGAGAGTCCATTCTGAATGGAGGGATGCTCTCTCAGCCTGGTCACATGGGGGGGGGGGCCCTAGGCCCTGCCCAGGATGATATGGCAAACATTGAAAAACCCCCATGGAAGGCCTCACCCTCCCTGGGAGGCAGAGGGGGGATGGAGTGGAGGGTTAGGAGTATGGGGGGGCAGAGGAGGAGGGGAGGGAGAGGGAGCTGCGAGTAACGTGTAAAAAGTTAAATTAAAAAATTATTTTAAAAAAAGATGCTGGAGGAGAGATGGATGGCATGGAGAAATTTCTGAGCAGGGAAACAGCTCTGTATAACACTAAAATTATTAATTTTCAGGGTGTGTGATGTGTAACAATGAATCATTATACATTTGCCCAAATGCACAGGTGTACTGCATCCATCATGAATCTGAATGTGAACTGTGCAATCTGGACATTAACATGCCACCATGGCCTCATCAATTGTAACAAATACCCAACCTAGTGTATTTGTTTTGATTTGTTTTGTTTTGGTGGTACACAAGGAATAGTTCATGAAAGTGGGGTTGGAGACCATTTTTCATTTTATTGCTTTGAGATACAGTCTCACTATGTAGCCCAAACTGGTCTGAACTTGCTGTGTGGACCATGCTACTCTACACTTCATTTCCCTGCCTTCGACGGCTGAATCATGGCACTACAGGAATATACCATCACGATAATGAAGAAGGCTTCATGTTTTGCAAGGACAGAGATCACATGAGATATATCTATACTTCTCCATCTACAAATTCCCTCTTAAAGAGTCTATCTTTTGTTAAAGAAATATCTAAGTAAAACTAAAAAATTACCTTCAAGATTTTGTAACACAAATAATAATAAACCCTGAGACAGATATTGGGGTTCAAGCTGATGATCAGAAAAGCAAAGCAGCGAGCCGCTAGCTCTTACCTCTACCTCAGGCTAAAAGGGCTGTCTGCACTGCTCTCCACCAAGTCTCAGACTGCAATCCTGTGCCTTCCCTGTCTGGAAACTAAATCTCACATGAGATCCCTTGCTTCTTTTATATATCTCAAATTCTGACATTAAAGGCGTGAGCTCTGATTCATTCTCGAGTAGCCCAGGGTAGTCTTGGACTCGCGGAGATCTGCCAGCCTCTGCCTCCCAAATACTGGGATTAAAGGCTTGTGATCAAGTGCTGGGATCACCTTTGTGTGAGCTGTTTCTCTTTTAGACTGGATCAATTTCACGTAGCTCAGTGTGGCCTTGAACTAATAGAGACCCGTCTGTCTCTGTCTCCCGAGTCCTAGGATTTAATGTGTGTATCACCACTTCCTGACTCTATGGCTGTAGCTAGCATTGCATTTTGATCTTCAGTGGCTTTATTAAACGATAAACAAGATTTAATGGCACGATTGCTTTAGATAAATTACTTAAAGAGAATCTTCTGTCTCTGACAGAGACAACGATAAATACACTCACAACTCAATAGAAAAGAAAAACAAAAAAATAAAAGTGAGCAGGATGTTCATCACTAAAGCAGAAAGAATGACAAGAATGAGGATTCCCCCTTGCACAAAAACAAGATATCCTAGACCTGTTAGTCATTCAACACTTAGGGTACAAACTAATGTTAGATCAGTAAATGAAGACACACCCTTCAGTATCAAAGATCAACTCCAGATAATGCTCAATTAGTCTTGTGAGAAAAAAAAAAACATATACGCGTTTAACTCATGATTTTTTTCTCCCCACCCACTTCTCGCCCCTCCTTCTCTTCCTACTTAAGAGCCTTCTGCCGACCCGTAGATTGGCAGCAGGCTGGCGCATGCGCACTGGTTTGTCCTTGCTGGGTGACCATGAAGGCTTGTCTGCCTTCGTCTGTGGTGGCAAGTGCTCAGTCGCATCCCCTGACGCTAGGGGGTGTGCTGAAGCCATGGCTGTGGGAGCTGTGGCTCCTACTGATGGGCTCTGGCTTGAATGTCAACCCCCTGCCTCATGAAGAGGATGTAGACTTCATCAATGAGTACGTGACTCTCCATAATGAGCTCCGAGGCTCCGTCTTCCCGGAAGGGTCTAACCTGCGCTTCATGGTGAGGCCTGAAGGCTGCTTCCCAAACCTCCCAACACCCAGGCCACTTTATAGCGTGGGGAAACCCAAAACTACACACACATGTTTGAATTTTAAAATACATATACAACCACTGTCGCGCTGATACACGATCGGTTCCATGGTTTTACAGAGGACCAAGTATGGAAGAAGTTGAGATACTACTCCCCAGAGGTGCAAATTTTAAGGGACGCCGATTTAGGAATTGTAGTTTAATGCAACTGTGTTTTGTTGTTGTTGCTGTTGTTGTTTTCAAGCAATAAGAATCAACGCAACCTTTTCAATGACAAATCAAGTAAAAATGTTGAAGAGAGAATCCTTGGATCTGAATTAGTAGAAAGTGAGATACTCGGGGTGGTACAAATAGAAAGTCAGATCCTATTTTATTTAAAATTTTGGATGTTTTCCCATTGTAAATGTTTTCACATTAATTCTACCTTTAGAAAAAAAAAACTTGATTAATAGGCGTTTTTTTCCATTTCTTTCATTCTGGTTTTCAGGGGTTTTGTTTATTTGTTTTTATCACTGTATTGAATTTTGCTCCCACGGGCTTGTCTTAGGCCCCCTTGTTCAGTAGCTACTCAGGTATTATCAGGGTCAGAAGGCATTGGGGCTGGAGGACTCCATCATAACCAGAAACTTCTAAAGCCAAGGGCTGCAGTCAGAGGAACGGGACCTGAGACATATCATGCCTTGGGAGGAGGTGTGACTCCTGAAGTGCCCAAACGGTCATTAATTGGTTATTATCTAAACTTAATCCAAGCACACAATATGAAAAAGAAAAGGATATTTCCACCGCCCACTGTCGGTCTAAATGGGCTTCTCAAACATCTGGGTAGGAAAATGCCCTAGGAAAGCTGTTTGTTCTAAAGACTACAAGTCAATAAAGCCTGTCTAAAAGGTAGACTGGCATTGCCCACCCTCTGCCTTGTATACAGCTTGGCAGCTCTGTGTTCTGCACCATAAGCTGCCTGTCTCCTCTGAATTCTTTTCATGGAAATTGTAAGGACGGAGAAGCCAAGGGTAGTCTGGGAGGAGTGTCCTGAGACCCTGCCATGCTAAAACAGACCCTTATCTTGTTTTCTCTTTCAAAGAGAAAAGTCACCCTTTTTTTCTGCTTCTGTTCAACATCAGCTATTTCCTTGCTGCTATGGAGATTCCACAATAGCCATTAAAAATGATTGCAAAAATCCATATAAGCCAATTAAGCACTTGTAATTTACATTATAAATTACATAGGTCTGCCCTCCCTACAGATGTCCTTTCTGTCAACAAAAAATTTTGAAGGTGAATGTTAACAATATAATATTTTTTATTGAAATGTAGCAGGTACTATTGTTAAAGACTCTGGCAAATACAGCAAATACCAGCAACAGGCAAGTGTTATGTTTCTACATCTTGAGTATTTTCGATCATTTGCTAAATTGCATAAATTGATTATGAAGTGGGTTTTTTCAATTTTTGAAAAATTCTTTTGGATTTAATTTTTTGGTGTGTGTGTGTGTGTGTGTGTGTGTGTGTGTGTGTGTGTGTGTACCCATGTCTACACGTATAAACTGTGACAAGCATATATGGAGGTCAGAGGACAGCTTGAAGAGTTTGTTCTGTCCTGCTTTGTGGGCTCTGGGAATGGAACTCAGTTGCAGAGTGATCTCTCAGGACCTAACCCTACCTTCCGAATGCTGGCTCCATTGCTTGTCTGTTTTTTATTCACCTTCTCTATCTTGTGTAGTCAGTATTTTCCTCAGATAATCTTATTTGCTGATGATGGCTTTTGTTTTGTTTCTTTCCCAGCCGGTGTTTTGTATTTCCTACTCCTTGTTACTGTTTCACCAAGTGTGAATTACCCTTCCTTTTTAATACAGGTAAACACTGGTTTCTAGCAAAACCTTTGCAAGCTTTGTATGTGATCTCTGAAGCATAAAACATTTAAATAAAAAGAATAGAAAGCCCTAGACCCCCGTGAGCCTACATCATATAATTTAAAAATTTGAAATGGTACATTTTAGGTTTAGCTTAAGTTTGCTTGTTTCTTTCTAAATAAAAGCCCTGTGAGTTTCGTCTCAGTATTTTCTTCCTTCCTTTGCCCTGTTTCCAGTGCTTTCCTCTGTGTCCATCACCCAGAAAGAGGAAGAGAGCACAGTAGAGGGAGATGAGGGGACAGGCTAGACGTGTGGAGAGATAACAGAGCAAGTACAGGAGTAGAGAGACGGGTGTGGGAAGGAAGAATCTACAGATGCCTTCTCTCATTGTGTGGCTTGCTGGGGGGGGGGGGCCTGCAGGTGTCATACAGGGAAGGGAACCACACAAAGAGATAAGAATGAAATCGAGGATCAGACTCCCGGGAGTCTAATAACAGGAAATGTATTTACTCCCAGTATAATTTGGAAAAAGTTTCCTGGTATAATACAATCCCCATTGCACAAGGAAGCATAATTACATTGAAAATCAGCCCAGGGTACATATCATTTCTTTCAAGAAGATGGGTTCAGGGTCTGGCCTCATCTCAGTCGTACAGATAGGGTAGAGATCATTGGGTTTTTAGTCTCCTCAGTCCTAGCTGTGGCAGCTTGGGAGAGCTCTGTCTTCAAGGGTCATTTAGATTACTAGTCACCTTGGGTCTTAGCTGTAATAGCTTGATGTGGCCTGACCCAACAAATACCACAGATCACCAGGCAGTTAACCTCTTCTAATTCTCGGTTTTCTGGATGGAAGAACATATTTGTCATCTTTCCTATTGGAAAAATGATCCTGTGTGCTTAACATTCCTATGCATGTAACAGGTTGTCTATCTATTTATAGTTCAAGTCTTAAACCTAAGGCTAGAGAAAGAGTTCAGTAGTTAATACCATTTGCTCCTTTTGTAGAGGACTTGGGTTTGGTTCCCTGCTCTCACAGACTACTGTAACCCAAGTTTTAAGGAGCCCTAAGGCCCCCTTGTGGCTTCTTTGGGCACCAGGCATGCAGGTGGTACACATGTATGTATGCAGGTGAAACATACATGTAAAAATAAAAATAATCATTTGTAAAATTTCCTAAAACTGATGAAGTCTACTCTTTCCTTCATGCATATACTTTTGGTACTGTCTTAGAAAAAGCATTACTAAATCCAATTTATTAAATTTTTCTTTATATTTTTCTAAAAATGTTGTTATGACAATAACAATAAAAACAAAATGTAATTTCAAGTCTTACATTTAGGTCTTTCATCTATTTGTGATTTTTTGATATGGTATAAGATAAAAGCCCAATTCTATTCTTTGTGTGTGTGTGTGTGTGTGTGTGTGTGTGTGTGTGTGTGTGTGTGTGTGTCCAGTTTTCCCAGGCTTGATTTAAAGGACTGCTTTTTGTTCATCAATTGGTCTTGGCAGCCCGTGTAGCAGCCATGCTCCTGTGTGAGTGTTGGGATTTATTTTGGAGCTCTTTATCTCATTCCGCAGTCTGCCAATCGCTCTTCTGAGTTTGTTTTCTTTCAGGACTTTTTTTTTAATTCTATTCAGTGTCCCTTAAGAATCTATCTGAATTGCTTATGGTGGAGGGGGTCACACTATTAGAATATTTTGTGTAGTGAGCACACCTCAGTATTAAGACCCTGGCCATAGATACCAGTCTTTTCATTAGTGCTTTTTTAATTTTCTTTAGCAACATTCTATGGTTAAAAAAAGTCCAGTTTGGTTAAGGTTATTGTAGCATGAATAATAAGAACCCAGAGACAGATAATGGGGTTCAAGCTGAAGATTAGAAAAGCAAAGCAGCCAAACCACCATAGAGTTCTTACCTCTTCCAAGGCTAACAAAAGGGGGCGGATCCTGTCCTCAGCGTGACTGCAGACTGCAATGCTCTCCACCAAACCTCAGGCTCCCTAAGACTGTCCTGAGACTTCACCGAGTTCCTGCCTTATATTCCTCTCTCGTGCTGGGATTAAAGGCATGTCACCCCAAGTGCTAGAATCAAAGATGTGAGCTCTGTTTCTCTTTTAGACGAATTCACTGTCATGTAGCCCAAACTGGCCTTAAACTCAGAGATCCCTCTGCCTCTGTCTCCCAAATACAGGAATTAAAAGGTGTGACCACCACTGCCTGTCCTCTATGGCTAACTAGTGGCTTAAGTGTGTGGCTAACTAGTGTCTTTGTGTGTGCGCGTGCGTGTGCATCTAACTAGTTGCTTAGCTCTTAACTAGGTGTGTGGCTAACTAGTGGCTTAATGTGTGTGTGGCTAACTAGTGGCTTAGCTCTGCACTCTGATCTTCACGGAAGCTTTACTTGTTAGATTACAAACAAAATATCAATAGGTTATTATTACTTTTTTGATGCTATCATGGTGGAATTATGTGCCCAGTTTTTCTGTTCAGATAGTTGATTGTTAATGTCTACAAATGCATGTAATTGTGTATGCTAATTTTATGACCAGTTTACTCAAATCTTATTTCTAAATTTCCTTGCTCTCAAAATACATCCTGTAATAGTTCTCTCAGTTCCAGATTTCTATATCCAGGACAACCTTTACGTCTCACTCAGTAAAGCCTTTTGTTGTGTTTGTACATGTGTTCAGTATTGTGTGTGTGCGTGTGTATGTGTATGCATGTTTATTTGAGAGAATATAGAGGCCAGAGGAGGTTACCCAGTGTCTTCTGATGCTTTCAGTCCTATTCTTTTGAGACAGCATCTGCCACCACGCTCAAAGTTTTTTCTGCTGTGCTGACAGTCAGTGAATGGCTAATAAGAAAGTAACTTGAAAGGATGCCTCCTTTTTTTACTGTTTATATGTCTTTCTAAAAAATCATTTCCAACACCTTTTTGGTAGCATTTTCCCTTAAGACTATGGCAGGTTAAGTTTTAGATATCCACTTACGATTGTCAGCTTGAGCTCTCTGTAAAGTAAGAAATCATAGTGAAATGACAGACTGTGTGAGAACGGTGAGAAGGGAATATGAGATGTGTGGTGCTGGGAAAATAACTCTCAGTCCATAGACTCACTGTGTTATGCTCAAAGAGAAATCATAATTTTGCTCTGAAGTAAAATGACTGATTACTACAGATAAGACAGGAAGTTTTGTGGTAAGAACTTAATGAATAAAGAAAGTTGTCAGAAAAGTTGTGGGAAAGGAATTTCATGTGATGCTATAAGTAGACTGCGATTGGATGTACTTATTTAATGAGATGTTTTATGAGTGAATTTAAATGTCAAAAAGAGTTTGAAACAAGCTAGAGTGAGAGTATATGTGTGTACATATGTGCTTGTGAGTATGTGATACTTGTGTATGTGTGTGTTCACACTTGTGTATACGCATGTGTGTGCATGCATGCATGCACACATGTGTGATGCTTGTGTGTGGGCCCAGAAGTGCATGTCCAAACAGAGTCCAGAAGAGGGTATCAGGTGTCCTTTTCTCCACCTTACTCCTTTAGGACAGGGTATCTCCCTGAATCTAGTGTCATGGTTTTTTTCAGCTGGAATGGCAGCCAGGAAGTCCTAGCAATCCTCCTGCCTGTGCCTCCTCAGTGCTGGGAATGCAGCAACATGAGGACCAAATGTCCATTGACCTCTCATTTTGTATCTGAAAATAATAATCTATGTATAATGAATGCTCAGTAAATAGTTATTAGGCGAATGTTTTAGTTTACTAGGCACAAAAGACGGAGCATTAAATGTGTATATTCAGATCAAATTGTATGTGAGTTTATTATGTAGTCTGAAAAGGCTATATGAAATAGTACTAGAATGATTAGTTTAACCTTTCACTTAAATATTTCATTTACAGGCATATTCATGGGCTTTTGTCTTAGGAAGTAGTCATTTTATTACAAATATTGTTCAAAAAACAAAAAAGAGGGGAGGGAAATAATACAAAATTGGCCTAGTTCTTACCAAAATAGTAAACATCAAGAAAATAAAGTAGAGCATTAAAACAACATTATTTGTAATTATTTTGTTTTGTCTGATTTTTTGTGTGTTTCAGACTTGGGATGTAGCTTTATCACGTACTGCTAGAGCGTGGGGAAAAAAATGTACGAATCAGCGTAATACTCATTTAAACAAAGGGCATGAGTCCCATCCTGTATTTAGTGATATTGGCGAAAACATGTGGATTGGTCCTGAACAAGAATTTGCTACAAATATCGCTATCAAAACTTGGCATGAAGAAAGGAAAAGTTACAATTTTCACAATGACACTTGCTTTGGAGAGGACTGTTCTCATTATGTTCAGGTATCTGATTTGTATGTTGTTATTAAATTAGTAGATTTCTTAAGTGCTTTACCTGGTTTTCTGTTTTAAATTTATAAGCTCAAATGATAAAATAAAATGTTTAATCTTGTTTTATGTCTTTAAACATCCACTATTCCATCTATATTGTGAATCCTACAAGAAATAGCCATTGTCTGCATACCTTCAGATCAAGGGGGTTGTTCTGAAACTAGCTCATGATAGAAATAGTAGAAAGACTCTTAAAGGAAATGAATTACAAGTTACTGACCATGAGCAAGCATAAAAGGAGTCCTATAAATCAGTAGGTAGACTATGTAACTAATCGACTGACTTCTAGTGTTAGTTCCACCACCCAAGCCCAGGACTCCAGGTGACCCCTTAACCTCCAGGAATTCTCAGCCATCTTTAATTTTCTGTATTCACCTTTATTATTTTACATAGTAACTGAAGTAGGAGAAACCTTGTCTTTTTACCCACATATTCTCAACATGACATGATCCTGCTTAGTTTCTTCAGTAAGTGCTGATGTCAGAAATCAAAGAGATTTTTGAATGAACATTAATTTATTAAAATATGAGATGATCATCTCAATCAACTTATATTGTAAAGCATAATTTTGAAATTTCTTGGTGGTTTTGATTTCCACTCTTTCTTCTCTAGCAAATGAACTCTTCACAGAATTTTTGATCAGTTCTTTTTTAATCTGTTCCTCCTTCTTATACATAGCAGAGTTAGACTCCTTAATATAATTTTTATCCACCTCCTATTACTATATTGTTTTCTGTAATTCAAGTCACCAAGCCATCCACATCTCTTACATTGGACCTGCTAGACTTTGCTTCAACTCCTGCATTTTAGTATTCTATTTTGTTGTCTTTGCAGTATTGGGACTAGATCCCAGGGCCTCACACATGTTACTTAACAAATGCTCTACCTTTAGATTTTTTGTCTCTAGTTTCACTATATTGCTTTAAGAATTGAAAATTTAGCCTGGTGATGGTGGTGCACACCTTTATTTCCAGCACTTGGGAGGCAGAGGCAGGCAGATCTCTGTGAGTTCGAGACCAGTCTTGTCTACAAGAGCTAGTTCCAGAACATCCTCCAAAGCCACAGATAAACCCTGTCTTGAAAAACCAGAAAAAGAGGCTGAGTCTTCATCTCAGTGGCAGGAGCCAATGCTCCCTAGTCTCCTGCTCCACCCAACCAAGAGAGATGAAGGAGGTTACTTCATACTCATAACAGGAGAAATCAACCAAGATGAAGTCTCAATTCTGAACAACTATGCCCCAAATACAAAGCCATCCACGTTCATAAAAGAAACATTACTAAAATTCAAAGCACGTGTAAAACCTCACACACTTATAGTGGGAGACTTCAACACCCCACTCTCACCACTAGACGAAATCAAAAGACAGAAACTTAACAAGGATACCAAGGACCTAATAGAAGTTATGACCCAGTTGGGTTTAACAGACATCTATAGAACACTCCATCCAAACACAAAAGAATATACCTTCTTCTCAGCTCCACATGGAACCTTCTCAAAAATCGACCACAATACTTGGCAACATAGCAAATCTCAACAGGTACAAAAAAAATTGGAATAACTCCATGTATCTTATCAGACCACTATGCCTTAAAGTTAGAATTCAACAATAACACAACTCACAGAAACTGAATAATACACAATTGCACCACTCCTGGGTCAAAGAAGAAATAAAAAAAAATTGAAGACTTCTTAGAATTCAATGAGAATGACGACACAACATACCCAAACTTAGCACACTTTGAAAGCAGTGCTAAGAGCATTAAGTGCCCACATGAAGAAACTGGAGAATAGTCACACTACAGAATTAACAGCACAACTGAAAGCTCTAGAACAAAAGAAAGCAAACTCACCCTAGTGGAGCAGACACCAGGAAATGATTAAACTGAGGGCTGAAATCAACAAAGAATCAATGTAACAATGAGTTGGTTCTTTGAGAAAATCAACAAGATAGACAAACCTTTATCAAAATTTACCAAAATGCAGGGTATGAACATGCAAATTAACAAAATCAGAAATGAAAAGGGAGACATAACAATGACAGTGAGGAAATCCAGAGAATCATCAGGTCATATTTTGAAAAGCTGTACTCCACAAAATTTGAAAATTTAAAGGAAATGAACAATTTTCTGGATAAATATCACCATAATTAAATCAAGAACAGATAAGCAATTTAAATAGAACTATAACACCTAAGGAAATAGAAGCAGTCATCGAAAGTCTCCCAAGCAAAAAAAAAAGCCCAGGGCCAGATGGCTTCAGTGCAGGATTTTACCAGAAATTCAAAGAATAGGTTATACCAATTCTCAAAGTATTCCATGCAATGGAAGCAGAAGAGTCTTTGCCAAACTCTTATTACGAGGCTTCAATAACATTGATACCAAGCCACACAAAGACACAACTAAGAAAGAGAACTTCAGACCAATATTCCTCATGAACATTGATGCAAAAATATTCAATAAAATACTGGCAAATCGGATCCAAGAACACATCAGGAAACTCATCCACCATGATCAAGTAGGCTTCATTCCACGAATGCAGGGATGGTTCAACATACAAAAATCCATCAATGTAATGCACCATATAAACAAGCTGAGAAACAAAAATCATATGATCATCTCACTAGATGCTGAAAAAGCCTTTGATAAAATCCAACACCCCTTCATGATAAAGGTCTTGGCGAGATCTAGGATAACAGGAGCATACATAAACATCATAAAAGCTATATACAGCAAACCAACAGCCAACATCAAACTGAATGGAGAGGAACTCAAGGAAATTCCTCTAAAATCAGGAACAAGGCAAGGTTGTCCCCTCTCCCCATACCTCTTCAATATTGTGCTGGAAGTTCTAGCTAGAGCAATAAGACAACAAAAGGAGATCAAGGGGATACAGATTGGAAAGGAAGAGGTCAAACTTTCACTATTTGCAGATGATATGATAGTTTACATAAGTGACCCAAAAAAACTCTACCGGGGAACTCTTACAGCTCATTAACACCTTCAGCAAAGGGGCAGGATACAAGATCAACTCAAGAAAATCAGTAACCCTACTATATACAGATGATAAAAGGGCTGAAAAAGAAATCAGAAAAACATCACCCTTTACAATTGCCACAAACAACATAAAATACCTGGGGGTAATGCTAACCAAACAAGTGAAAGACCTGTTTCGCAAGAATTTTGAGTCTTTAAAGAAATAAAGAAAAGAAGACACCAGGAAATGGAAAGATCTCCCATGCTCTTGGATAGGTAGGATCATGTAGTAAAAATGGCAATCCTGCCAAAAGCAATCTACAGACTCAATGTAGTCCCCATCAAAATCCCAGCACAATTCTTCACAGACCTTGAAAGAACAATACTCAACTTTGTATGGAAAAAAAAACCAGAATAGCCAAGACAACCCTGCTCAACAAAGCAACGTTTGGAGGCATCACCATCCCTGACTTCAAGCTCTTAGAGCTATATTCCTGAAAACAGCTTGGTATTGGCACAAAAATAAACAGGTACACAAATGGAATCAAATTGAAACCCCTAAGATTAATCCACAAACCTATGAACACCTGGTTTTCACCAAAGACGCTAAAATTATACAATGAGAAAAAATAGCATCTTCAACAAATGGTGCTGGCATAACTGGATATTGGCATGTAGAAGACTGCAGATAGAACCATGTCTATTGCCATGCACAAAACTTAAGTCTAAATAGTTCAAAGACCTCAACATAAATCCAGCCACACTGAACCTCTTAGAAGAGAAAGTGGGTGGTACCCTTGAAGGAATTGGTACAGGAGACTGCTTCCTGAACATACCACCAGTAGCACAAACACTGAGATTGACAATTAATAAATGGGACCTCCTGAAACTGAGAAGGCAAAGGACACAATCAGCAAGACAAAAAGGCAGCCCACAGATTGGGAAAAGATCTTCACTAACCCCACATCTGACAGAAGGCTGATCTCCAGAATTTACAAAGAACTCAAGAAGCAAGTCTCCAAAATACCAAAGGACCCAATTAAAAAGCAGGGGACTGAACCAAATAGAGAATTCTCAATAGAGGAGTATAAAATGGCTGAGAGACACTTAAGAAAGTGCTCAACATCCTTAGCCATTAGGGAAGTGCAAATGGAAACAACTCTGAGATATCATCTTACTCCTGTCAGAATGGCTAAAATCAAAAACACTAATGACATCTTATGTCAGAGAGGATGTGGAGAAAGGGGAACACTCATCCATTGCTGGTGGGAATGCAAACTTGTACAGCCACTTTGGAAATCAGTATGGAGATTCCTCAGGAAAATGAGACTCAGTCTACCACAAGACCCAGCAATTCCACTCTTAGGCATATAACCAAAATATTCCCATTCACACAACAAGGATGTCTTTTCCACTATGTACATAGCAGCATTATATGTAATAGCTAGATCCTGGAAGCAACCTACATGCCCCACAACTGAAGAATGGATAGAGAAAATGTGGTGCATTTACACAATGGAGTGTCAGTGGAAAAAATAATGGAATCTTGATATTTGCAGGCAAATGGATGGCACTAGAAAAAACCATCCTGAGTGAGGTAACCCAGACACAAAAAGACAAACATGGTATGTACTCACTCATATATGGATTTTAGATATAGATCAGGGGAGTGTCAGCCTACAATCCCAGTGCCAGTGAGTCTGGGAAACAGAGAGGTTCCCAAGAGAGATGCATGATACCCCAGAGATGTGGAATGAGCCAAGATCTCCTGAGCAGATTGGGAACATCGGGGGAGGGAGAGATAACCTGGAAAAAGAGAGGGGGAGAAGAGGAGAGGAGAAGAAGGCATGGGGAGAAGGAAGGTTGAGTCCAGGTAAGAATAGAGGAGAGCAGGATGAGAGATACCATAATAGATCAAGTCATTATAGGCTTGAGGAGAGAGCTGACACTAGTGAGATCTCCATAGATCTACAAGGATAACACCAACTGGCAAAGTAAGCAGTAGTGGAGAGACTACATTAATAGCCCCTCTTTGATGATAAGGTTGATGACTACCCTATATACCATCCTAGAACTTTCATCCAGTGACTGATGGAAGCAGAGACAGACACCCACAGCTAAACACTGAACTGAACTCCTGGAACCTAGTGACAGAGATGGAGGAGTGATGAGCTAAAGGGTGAAGACCGTGCTGGTGAAACCCACAAAGACAGCTGACTGGACAAGGAGGAGCTCTTGAACCCCAGACTGATGGCTGAGAGGCCAACAGGGGACTGATCCAGACTCCATGAATGTAGTGTCAGTGAGGAGGCCTCAGAAACCTCTGGGGTCTTGGGTAGTAGATCAATGTTTACCATGGTGCATGAATGATCTTTGGGAGCCCAATCCAAATAGAGGGATGCTCTCTCAGCCTAGACACATGGGGGAAGGGCCTAGGTCCTGCCCTGGATGAAATGACAGACTCTGGAGACCCCCCCATGGAGGGCCTCACCCTCCCTGAGGAATGATATGGGGATTGCGGGGGGGCTGGAGGTGGCTGATGGAGGGAAAAGGGAGGAGGGGTGGAAGAGGGAGCCGGGATTGATATGTGAAGCATTCATGTTTCTAATTTAAATAAAAACATACATTGAGGAAAAAAAAAGAAAAACCAAAAAAAAATTTGAAAATTTAAAACCAACAACAATTTGTTAAAAACTGAGTAGGAGACAGAAATGGCTCCCCTTCCCCACAGCCAAAAAAAGAACTTATTCTTCACTTGGAATTTTACTAATATTGAGATCACACAGAGAATTTCTGGAATATCTCTCATTATTCCAGTCCCTTTCCCCACCCCCATCCTCCACCCCCCATAATACAGGGTCTATTTTTTCTGTTATAGAGCTCATATCTCCTCTAGGTCTTTCCTAATGCAAAGCCCATACTTTGTTCGCTTTGTGATCCAGCTTCCTCTACAAGAGGAGGGATGGATGCTGGTGTCATTGTTACACTTTCCTCTTGCTTGCTTCCTGCCTATTATTCCTCTTTTCTCCCTTCTGCTAGAAGCTTCCACTTTACAAAGCTTTCCCTCTTCTCTCTCTAATCTTTCATCCTCACTGCCAAAGCCCTAAAACTGTCCAATTTGGCAAGTTGGTATTGGCAAATCATCCCATCAGACTTGATTTCCACTGCCTCAGAGCATTGGACTTCCGTGTTCTTCAGCTCTTTCCATAATATGAAACTATGACAATATTGACGTAAAGACACTTGGGAAATGCTCCCTAAACTCACGACACTGGCCTTGCCTGGGTCAAAAAACAAATTGTGATAGTCCTTGAATTTATTGGTTAAAGATTCCGTGTGAATGGAATATAGTATGCATAACATAAATACTTCTAAGTAAATCTTACATTTTCTTTGTCATGTTTATTTCAGCTTGTTTGGGACAGCTCCTACAAAGTTGGTTGTGCTGTGACTCCATGTTCAAGAATTGGAAATATCAAAGACGCAGCACTTTTCATATGCAATTATGCACCAGGGTGAGTGATAAAAAAGTTGAAATAAAATGAGAATATTTCAATGTTAGGTTTTCCTAACTTGTAATATGTGTTTGAAAAGAACCAACTCCTAAAAGTTATCCTCTGACCTCCACAGGCTCACCGTGGCACCCCCATGTGCGTGTGCCTGTGTGTATGTGCACACACACATAAATAATAAACAAACATTTTAATTTTTAAAATCACCTGAGAAGTGGGTAGAGGTCGGGGGTGGTGGCGGAGGGGGGGTGTTAGGTGGCAAATAGAGCAAACAGAAAAACAATGGCATGTTAAATATTCTGGAATTGACTCTAGGGATTGGCAAGTCACTGGAAGGTTATAAGCAGTTGACCACCATGGTCTTATTTATGCTTTAAAAAGAACAGTTTTTGTAAGATTACTCTGGATGCTCCGTAGAGTGTGGGCTAGAGAGAGAGAGAGCACATGCAATCCAGGCGTCCCCTTATTGCAGACATGGACAATGGTGTCTGGAGGCAGGCTTAGCATATGGACTGACTTCCTACTGCTGCACATTAAATAACACAATCGCAGTGCTTATGAACAGCATCCACTTACTATCAAGACTCATAGGTCATGAGTTCAGCTGCATAATGCCTGGGTTTAGTGCTTAGGACCTCAAGGACCAAAATCAGTGTGTCCACTACAGTGGAGGAATCCTGTTTCCAAACTCATTCAGGCTGTTATCTTGAAGGAATTCAGTTCGGTAAGGCTGTGGGACTCAAGTTCCAATTTGCTTCCCGAATGTCAGCCTAACATTTCTTTCATTTGCTAAAAGTTCTGTATTCCTTAATACATGCCCCTCTACACACACACACACACACACACACACACACACACACACACACACACACCATCAGGTAAACAAAGGCAAAGCCTCATACTTCAAATGTTTGATTTCTATGCTGTAATCAATCAAAGAAAACTCTGCTTTTAAAGCATGTTAGTGATTATCTCAAGCTCACCTTGTTCTATATGAGAAAATTATGATTAAAATCCATAATACTCAATATCCCAAGACTTACATATATATACAGAGGTAGAGGATCTTGGGTTTTGTTTTTAGGGATCTATCATATTATTTTTAAAATAATATTTTAGTGGCAGAGATTGAGAAGTGGCATTTAAGACATTCAGGATGTAGTTATTAAGCTTTCTTTTCTTTTCTACTTTTTTTCTGATTTTTCAAGACAGAGTTTCTCAGTGTAGCCTTGACTGTCCTGGAACTCACTTTGTAGACCAGGCTGGCCTTGAACTCACAGAGATCCACCTGCCTCTGCCTCCCAAGTGCTGGAATTAAAAGGCCACCACTGCCCTTTTTTAAAAAATTTTATTTGCATTGGTACTTTGCCTGCATATACGCCTACTTGAGAGTGTCAGATCTTTGGAATTACAGATAGTTGTGAGCTTGGAATTGAACCGGGTCCTTCAGAAGAACAGTCAGTGCTCTTAACCACTGAGCCATCTCAAAATAATAATAATAACAATAATAATAATACTTTAGTAACTCTTTGGGAATTTGGTGGGGAATTTTATACACTGTATCTTAATCACATTTACTTCCACAGCAGCCCCCCCCCGCCTCCCACTTCATGTCCTTTTTGTTTGTTTTTAGAAAAGACTATCTCATAGCAGATGTCTTCTTGGCTCTTACAGTCTTTCCACTTCTTTTCTTCAAAGCTCCCTGAGTCTTTAGTTAGAGGATGTATTATAAAGGTATTAGCTGGGGACAGGGATCCCACAGTCAATTGATTTCTGCATCGGCATTTGGAACAGTTGTGATTTTCTGCAATGGTGTCTGTATTAGAGCAACACAACTTGCAGGATGAATATATATATATATGTATATATATATATGGTTTATTGGAATGACTTATAGGCTTCAGTCTAGCTAATCCAACAATGATTGACTGAACAGAAGTCCAAGACTGAACAGAAGTCCAAGAATCCCATAGTTGCTCAGTCCACAAGGCTGGGTCTTTCAGCTTTTGTATATGCTAGAATCCCAAAGCAGGCTCTCATGCCAGTGAAGGAATGGACATGCTAGCAAGGAGAGGGCAAGCATGAAAAAAGCAAGTTTCCTTTTTCCATGTCCAGAGAAGGTGTGGTCCAGATTAAAAGTGTGTCTCTCATCCCAGGATCCAGATCAAAGGCGTGTGTCCTCCTACCTCAAAGGTCCAAACTAAAAGTGGATTCACCGACTTTAAACCAAGCGAAAAATCTCTCACAGGTGTGTCCTCCATTTCTGGATTATAATTCATTCCAGATGGAGTCAAATTGACCACCAAGAACAACCATCATGGACTCTGTCTACTGCCTAGAGAAGCTTCTTGGGTGAGAGTGGAAACTGACCTATCTGTGGCTAGACGGGTGAGTCTCTAGACTGCAGTTAGAAATTATACTGGTTTAGGCAAGGGACAGTAATAGGAAGTCTCAAGGTTCCATGGCTTCACCAGCTGTAGGTAGATGGCTCAGTATACAGTTCCAGGCATGAATTCCTTCCTGTCAGTTGGGGCTTCAGCCTAATTAGGTGGCTGTTGCTGGATAATGAGGTTGGTTCCATGCAGCATTGTGAATAGAGCTGCAATGAACATTGACATGAAATATCTTTACATACAGCCACTCAGAGTTGAATCTATTTTAACTCGATCATCTTCTTAAAATGGTTAAACGGGGAAATGTCACTTAATTGACATAAGTCAATAACGCCATTAACATTTATCTAACAAACATTAAATAGCATAGAAACTGAGTGTTTTCTTACTTTCTGTTTTCTTCTAGAGGAACTATGACAAGGAGGCCTTATCAGGCAGGGGAATTTTGTACTCGGTGTCGCTCTGATGACAAGTGCACAGATCTTCTATGCAGTAAGATAAAAATAAATCCATAAGATGTAAGACAGTAAGGGGGTTGACACTCATGATCCCAACTCTGATGCTTTCACTACACTGTCAAAGCGGTGTCATCCATAGTCTTCCACTCTGCGGAGCCTTCTCTGCCCTCCTTGGCCCTATTGCTCCCCCTAGGAAAATATAAGAATCTCAGAATTAAGGAACTAACAGTTACGCTCTGAAAGAACTTCCCAACTAACTCCTTAAATAGTGGCCGGTTTGACAATGGCTTCTTTAAAAAATAATATTCCAAAATATTCATAAAAATAAAAAATAGTACAGTAGCATATTTAAGAACTTTTTTAATTGTTCTGCCTCCCTTGGGAGAAGCTCCTAAAGTATTCAGAGGAAAAATTGTAGAGTGTGTATCTGATTAATTTTTCTTTCTTTTTTTCTTTTCTTTTTTTTTTTTTTTTTTTTTTTTTTGGTTTTTACGAGACAGGGTTTCTCTGTATTGTTTTGGAGGCTGTCGGTCCAGCCCGGCCTCGAACTCACAGAGATCCGCCTGCCTCTGCCTCCCGAGTGCTGGGATTAAAGGCGTGCGCCACCACCACCACCGAGCCTAATTTTTCTCTTACTTTTTCCAAATATAAGAACTTACAATAAAATGGGAGAAAAATTCATATCCATTATATCCACAAAGGAGACTTAGAAGCTGATAGACATGAGCTTTAAGAAGACTCAATGGTCAGGAAGCTCAAACCCACCAGTTACTCTGGTTCCATGAGACACAGCACCGTCTAGCCCCCACTGGCTCAGGCATGTGTATGCATGCACATATATCACATAAAAGCACACACATAAACTAAAATCTTTTCTTCCAAAGCCAATAAGGAACATATCTATAAATGAATTTAAATTTTGTTTAAATATTTAATCAAATACAAATATAAAATAAGAATGCAATAAATGAAAACGAATGGTGACAAGTGAAGGAAGGTGGCAAGAAAGAAGGCTCTGTGACATTGTTGCTTCCACTAAATGATCTATAAACACAGTACCCATGCAGCAGGACGAGTACCTACACACCGTATAGAGAAGGATTTTTGTTCTTTGAAAGATGCTCTGATATAGGACTCACCACATAAAGTATGAAGGACCAAAACCAAAATGCTAAAATGATATCAAAGGTGCAACAGACTTCAGGTCATCTCCAAAGAGCCTAAGAAATGAATTCTGAATTTCACCATAGAGATAATATCAATGCAAGACAAAGCCCTCATTGCCATTGCACTTTCCACAATCGTCTGTCCCCTCATTTACTGTCCTAGTGGAAGTAGAGAATGATCGGCTTAGAAAGGGAGTGGATCCGGATGGGAGGGGAGGTGGGAAGGAAACGGGAAGACAAGGGGGAGGGGAAACTGTAATCAGGGGGTATTATGTGAGAGAAGAATCTATTTTCAATAAAAGAAAAATGACTATCTGACCCTCCCCACCCAGTTGAGCAGCTGAAGAAATTTGTCTACTTTCAAATGTAATTACCTCATTGGGGAAAAAAAAAAACCTAACTAAAATCAGTGAATCATAGGCAGTAGACTTAATCTTGCTGTTTCAGAAATGAAAATGAGCCAAAATGAGAACTAAGAATTGCATGAGAAATGAGTAAACCCATATTAATCTGGAGTACGGTAAATGGAGGACGATGGAAGAGCTGTGGTTCTCCGCCTTCCGGTAGAGTGGGAAGGGTCTTTAGAGGATGGAATTGAAGTATTTAGCTAAGGTGACACAGTGCTTTTGGAGACGGTCAGTACTAGAATCCTTTATGTCCTTAGCCCCACATTTCTCTAGACATTTTTCTAGGCTGGCTTCTACTGAAAAGAAGGTTGTAGACTAATGTTGGCTACTAGCAGGAACAGGATATCAAAAGCTTTAGTGGTTCTCAACCTTCCTAATGCTGCCACCCTTTAATACAGCTTCTCATGTTGTTTTGACCCCCAAGCATAAAATTACTTTCATTGTTGTTTCATAACTGTAATTTGGCTACTGTTATGGATTGAAATGCAAATATCTGATATGCAGGATATCTAATCTTCAACCCCAAGTTGAGAACCACTGCCCTACATTCTAAGAGCATAAAGAATGGTGACAGTACTAATGAGAAAATTCTTATAGAGGTAGAAAAAAATTTCTGTATTTCTTTATAGCCTTTTATTTTTCTTTCTAGGTAATGCAGAACGTGACCAAGCCACATGTATGTATTGTTGTCCTTTATTTCTTAAACAAGCTAAGCGTTTTATATGAAATCTAGCTTTCTTCAATTGCTTCTTTATTTACAGATTATCAATTCTGGTATCCACGTTGGGAAGTGCCCCGACCACTTGTGTGTGATCCTCTATGCTTATTTATCTTTTTACTGAGAATAGCATGTTTTGTGCTCTGTGTCATCATTGTTTTGATAATGCAGTCTCAATTTCCAGATATCTTAGCTGAAAAGCAGATGATTTCTGAGATTAAAATATTTTCAGCAGAAGAGGAGAAAGAGTCCAATGAGGAAGAAGAGGAAGAAGATGAAGGCTAGGGAGAAGACAGCCTAACAGAAGCCAACGCCCAATAGAAAAAAACAAAATCCCAGACAGCCTAACAGAAGCCAACGCCCAATAGAAAACAAAATCCCAAAATGTTGAAAAGTAGAATGTTGAACTTTAAGAGGAAAATATACAAGCCTTGATTGTGATTTTTTCAACACTTATTTAACAAATTTAAATTGAAAAACAAAAACAGTGTGAATACAAAGCTTGCATCGTACAGAGACTAGTAAGCTCTTACAGACCCAGAGGGCAGATAATAGGAACAGCTACAACAACACAAGGTTGACTCAAGAGTTCCTTGTGGTATCTGGTAAAAGGAGGGACTATTTATATTTACATCTCTCTGTGTAGCCCTTCTATATGCATTAGCAAGTATCTGAAGTATTCAGTTAAATGAAATTGTCCATGTAAGATGGTTAGGACCATTACAAGTTTAGAATAGCCATTTGATTGACAAGTATTACCTTGTTTTTATTGTTACTATTATAGTTGTCAGTAGTGATTGTATGTGATATTTCAATATGATATCAAAACATCAAATGTTGTATATATTTTATGTACATTTGTGAAACAATTTACTTGACATTTGCCCTTCCTGTTAGAAAATAAATGTATAATTTCTTCTTCATGGCCAGTAATTCATGAAAGATTTGCTGTAATTTTTGTCTTATAGGTTCAATAAATCCCAAACTAATTCATTGTAAATAAACAATATAACTGCTTCTAAGTTTATATGATAAAGTGAATTGCAAGTAATTAATTATAGTTAGTGTGTTTAGTAGATGTTTACACAATTATAGGAAAAGTAAGTATCCATATGAATGGTAATACTAATAATTTAATTGAATAAAATGTTAGCCTGGCAAAATATACAAAATGACATCTGTTCTTATAAATTCCAGGCATTTCTAGTTATGTCTAGCATTATAGTAAAAGCTTTTTCTAAAGTTAGGCAAATGATAATTATACAAAAATAACAAATAAACCAAAGAACCACTAGCCTAGACTACCCTCTTTGACCTAAGTTTCTAAGGTTTTACTTTTTTTTTTCATTTCCCTTGTTTCTCACGAGTTCTAGATTTTAGAAATTGTAGTTTTTCCATTAGAGAGTCACCTACTTCTACCTCACATCCTGGGGAAGGGGTGGAGTCGAGAAATGGAGACACATTTTATACTGAGTGTATTGATTGTTATCATTGTGCATTTGTATTCTACAAGATAGCTTCCCAGGGCACCTCCATGCAGTTAACACTCAGAGCCATTCTGTGGAGCTATCATTGTTTCTTCACTTAAAATGAGACACCTGACTTTGCTGTGTGAAATGTTTAACCGAGCCAGAATTAACAGCAACTTAATTTCTGAACATTTTGATGCATTTATACTTATAAACTCTTTTTGACAACATGTCTAGTTTTCACAGTTGGCCAGCTTGTTTTATATCAAAGAATTTGCATTGCAATGTTCTCTAGCCTCAGCGTGCTGGTTACACACACACAATAATGAATCACTTGGCAGCACCCTTCACATCACCTCATCAGGTAAAGGTGTCACATGTCCTTGACTTTTGTTTCCCAAGTGTTATGCTAGGTGTCATCTCTAGTTTTCCTCAAACTCATGTTCTGGGACCATTGGTTTCTAATTTTCCTTTTTTAGTAAACAAATTATAGGTTAATCTCTCTGTGAGCCTGTGAGATTAACACAAAAGCCAAAGATGTCTGGGAGAATTTGCCTTTTTTCTGTCTCAATGGTATTGAGTTCGGGAATGCACTTTAATAAAGGTACTCTTGTCCTGAAGATTTGTCCTGGTTCATGCATGAAAGTAGTGTGCATTCTGTTCTGCATCATGAAACTCTTTGATTGTTTTTGAGACAGGGTTTCTCTGTGTAGCTTTGGTGCCTTTTCTGTAGACCAGGCTGACCTCGAACTCACAGAAATCCACTGCCTCTGCCTCCCAAGTGCTGGAATTACAGGCATGCACCACCACTGGCTGGCTCTTGAGAGTCCTGAAATGCCCCTGGCCCTGGTAGACTAATCTCTTTCAAGTGTCTGCAGTAGATTACGTGAAGCAATGCTCCAGCATGTCTGGGCTGGGAGAAAGGAAGAAAAGCTTCTGTGGTGGTCTTTTTCCTGAGGATGGGGAGAGTCTCCGCACTCCAACCCCTCACCTATGCTCTGTAAGTCATCTCAGTAAACTCATTAGTTTCCCCCAGATTGACCTTAGGTGGAATTTTACCTTGATTTGTCCTTGGGACCTGAAGAGGAGAGGGAGGCATTGTTCAAGTCTCCCCATGGAAAGTGATTTTAGCAACACTTGGCTAGACAGCGGCATAGGACAAAACTGAGAATGAGTTTGAGAAAAGCAATGGTATTGTTTTCCTAATGCAAGGAATGATAAAAACAAATGAAATGAAGTTGATTTGGGGGATCATTACAAAGACAATTTTGACCTAGTGGTTATCCCTATAGGATAGTGGGTGTAGTAGTTGGGACATGAACAGTGCAGAGAGTAGTGAGAAATGTCACTAGGGTCAGGCCGCCTGGGCAGAGGCTGTCTGTAGGGGAAATCTTAGAGTGATAGTCTTCTAGGCATGAAGTGGTATGTCTGATTGATGGATGAGGTCTGCCCTGTGTGTGCAGAGATGCTGTGAGAATATCAAAGGTCTAAAATAGACATTAAAAGCCTTCAGAGTAGCACACCAAGAGCAAAAATATCAGCAAGGAGCCACAGAGGCAGCCTGGGCGCTGCATTGTATAACAAGGCCAACCGCAGGTACAAGGAGGGAATTGAAGCCAGACATGAATGTAAGCTTGGAGTCTCAGCTACTGGCCTGCGACTTTGCAGGTAAACTGGATGAAAGTGGAGGAAAAATGGAGGTATTCACCTGCTGCCTTATGAAGTTGGGGACCGAAGGGGAAGAGGGTCCAAATTACAGAACCCCTCCTGGGACACCAGACCCCTGGGAGGAGTCAGCTGGCTAAGGAAGGGGGTTGCCTAGAAGTAGCAGAAGGCTCTCCTCGGGTCCCTCCTAGCTTTCATCCAGAGAAAGAGAAAGCATCTGTCCAGTAGGCTGACAGCGGTCTTACAGTAGTGGTCTGGAGCCAGAGACTGTGGTAATCAGAATATTCGGTGGCAGGAGCTGCTGGAGTTGGGGAAGGCTTTCCAAGAAGCGGTGGAGGAGCCCCCTTGCCACCTGCCTTGTGAGGCTGTGGGACACGTGAGCAGACGAGATCCGCTCGAGCGCTGCCGAAGCAGAAAACTGGGCGATATAACCCAACCATCCCTTCTTGAGGAAAAGGCTTCACAGTCTAAGGCTATCTCAGGCAATTATGTGGACTGGCTCACACAAGCCTCTAGGGACTAGTGTTTACGCTAGCTGGGGTCCTCAGGAATATTTAAAAGGTTCACAAGGTGCTAAAGCAACAGGAGCAAGTTGAGAGGGGAACAAGCCAGGCAAAGCGCCTCTCCACACTTCCCAAATACAGATGTGGCTGGACTTGCACTCAGCCAGAGTCCTTGGGGACAAAACTGGTGGGCAAGGGAACGCTGTGCTGGTCAGTCTATGGAGGGCTTTAAAACCAGACCGGCAATTCGCTCCAAGAGTAAAGAAAACAGGTAACCAAAAGGTGCAGGCAATTCCTATTGCATGCCCCCTGCAAAGGGAAGTCTCAGGATGAGAATCTTCCTAGCTACTCCCCTGAAGAGGTGGCCAAGGCGGCCTGTGGTTTTGAACTTCTATAATAGCCTCACATTCCCAGGGACCAAAGGACTTTAAAGTGCTTCCCCAAGGATTATCTCCATGCTCCCACTCTTCGTTTTGGATGGCTCCAGAACGTTGTTCTGCCCAGCCTCTGTATAAAGGTCGCCTCACGTACAAATAGCATAACGCTAAACTTTGAGTGTTTTATTGAGTCGGAGACTTGGATAAGAGACAGGCAATTGCAGCTGGGGCGGAAGAAGCAAGCATGGAAAAAGGCCAGGTGTTGCTGTGGAATTCTAGGTGTGGCTGGGAAAGGTCCAAGCGCAAGCAAGCGATAACCATCAAAGTAATGGGGGAAGTTTGCAGTAGCCTGTGCCTCCAAACGTTCAAGAGTATCCAAAAGGTAAAAACGTGCTCCTAGAAGCCAAAAGGAGATCAATTGATATGCCAGCTGGTTTTTATGTCACCTTGTCACAAGTTAGAGTCATCTGAGAGAGGGACCCTCAATTGAGAATATGCCTCCCTAAGATCCGGCTGTAGATTATTTTCTTAATTAGTGGTTGGTGTGGGGAGGGTCCAGCCCACTGTGGGTGGAGACACCCATGGCTGCTGGTTCTATAAGAAAGCAGCTCCTGCCTCCAGCTTCCCCACCTGAGTTCCTGGTCCAACTTCTTTCAGTGATGAACTGTGATATGGAAGTGTAAGCAAAACAAACCCTTGCCTCCTCAAGTCACTTTTGGCCTTGGTGACCCAGCAGTCACGTAAGTAAGACCACTGGGAATCTCGGTGTCCAGAATGGGTTACTTTCCTCAGGGTTGTGGGTGACAGAGGTTTTAGAGGCCACTGAAACAATAAAGACCTTTGCCACCGTTGTTAGTTGCATTCCAGAAAGAATGTTAAGACTCCATTGCTTAAAGAGATCCGATGCATTGGCTGCCAGACTTGGAGAAACAAAGCCAGGACTGGGATGGAAGTGCCTCCTCCCTGCTAGCTAGCTCCTGGGATGCCAGAAGTTGCTAGGCACACTGGGGGAATGGAGGCTAGAATTCTCGTTCAGGTTGGGAAGGAAGCGCCAGGCAGAGCGTGTCAAATAGAGCCATAGTTGGCATGAGTGAGTATGGTTAGACCTAAATTTCTGATTGGCCTGAAGGGCAGCTTCACAGGGGGAAGGTCACATTGGTACAGGGAAGCAAACGTTTGCAGCCAGGGAAGCCATAGGTTTCAGTGGTGAAGCGACTGCTGTGCTTGGATAAACATGTCAGCCAAAGCGCTTGTCCACATTTGTGCTCACAATCGTTTGTTACTGCAGCCCGTGTCCATTTGGAAAGTGTTCTGTTCCTGCTTTCATCCTTTTCCTCACCTGTGTTTTGTCGTAAGAGAGATGCGATGATGACCACCACCACCTCCCCTCCCCCTCGTAATTTGCTAACAGCTGAGAGGTGAAGGCGAAAGGAAAGGGCACAAGGGTTTGTTCCCTCAATGGATTTACAGAGCAGACATCCATGCCACCTTGTGGAAGAGGAGGCCAGAAAGGGTATGAGAGCAGAAGGAAATGATAGTCACGTTGGATGTTGTGCAGGTATATCCACCAAACCAAACAGCTGCCATCTTGAGACATTCAACTGTGCCTGCTTGCAAATGATCGTCCTAGCTGGACTTATTGCCTAGTTACATCGCCTCCCAGAGGGGTGAGGAGGGGAAAGGGAGGGTCAGGAGACTTACCTGAGTACCCAGTCTATCTATCCCTGTCACCTGTTGTATGTAACTTTGCCCTTACTGTACAAGGCCTCTGGAAAGGGGTTAGAATGTATAATAGGAGGGGGAAGGAGATTAGAGGACGGAGGACCCCATTAGTGCAGTTATGGGAAAGTCATCTCTACTTGATAGAGTTGTGGTGTGATTTTGGGGAAAGCCCCACACTGTAGTAACCCCTCACCTATGCCCAGCAAACTCATCAGTTCTCCAGGGTGAACTTTGGTGGAATATACTTGAGTCTGTCATTGAGACCTTAGCTGGAGGCTAGACGTCCTTTATGTCCCTTAAAAGAATTTTAACAGCATCTGCTAAAATAACACATTTCAAATGTTTTGTCTG